AGATACGCATACATACATAAAAGAAGACACACGTTGTACTCGAAGACATGCCAGGAATTGAGAGTCCATAAATAAGCACGGATTCATAGTTCAATAAACCGGCCACGTTGCACTATTAAATGCGTCGAACTTTGAGGGGATTGTTGGTTGGTTAGCAGCGAATAAGACAAGTAAAAAAAAAAACAGTTGAATATCTACACTTAGTTTCTTTATACATATTTTATGTTTTTAAGCAAACTCCGTACTACCTTTTACTAAAATAATTATTTTCGTTATCATGCATATGTATGATGTTGGTCTTTTCTCTGCCTTGAAAACTTTGCTTTTTTTACCGTACTGTGTAGTTATTCGTGCATACATACATACATATGTATGGATATATGTAGACACATTCCTATAAGTAAATATTTTCCAACAACATACCACCAGATTTTTCGAAGAAGTTTTCTTGGATATATGTATATTTGCGAATATTCACAAAGGCACAACTTCACCAAAAACTCAAAAGTGAGTAAGTATTTCATTTAGAAAAACATAGGTAACTATTTCATATCTACATATATGTTTGTACATACTATATATATATATAAATTTTTAACAAATTAGCATACTTTCTCACACTAACCTTTTAAAACAACAAAATGTGACCGGTCAAAAATTCACTTGGAGAGCTGACGTCCAACTCAGCGCTGTCTTCGAAAGCGACTGGCAAACACTTTGATGTACAATAAATAGGAAATCTACTTATTCTAATATACGATTTAAGTATAAACACACATATACACATTCATATTCGTACTCTATATATGCTCTCCTCAGGCGGTGTCGTATTGACTGACTGGTCGAGTAAGTTTTCCCCGACACTGCAGAGCAAAGTAAGACGGGTTCTGAAAAGGCAACAGGAATCAAGCCTGTGTTTTGGAGAATTTAACTAACATATGCACACACATATGCGAATACTACACACATATTTAGCTAAAAGAGAGCAATTGTTATGGAGACCAGTGTTGCCGCGGCCGGTAAATAAAATTTACCAAAATCGTTAAAAAAAATTTACTAAATCCCGTAAAAATTAAGCAACTTATTTAATTAATTTGGGCTTTTCTTACCAAGCTTGGCAAGTAAGTAAATAAAGGCAATCTAAGGCTCAGTTTTGTTGTCAAAAGTGAGGATTTTATAGTCTAACAGTTGCTTAATTTGAAAACTATTACCTACTATATTCTTTCAGGCTTTCAACATATCGACATTTTTTTCTTGATGCAGAAATGCATCTAGATGCTCTAGGAATATTTCTGCATCAAAAAGAAAATTTTGAAAAAAGTGTCGCTTACGTTATTTTGGCGGTTAGGGCTCGATATACTCCATAAAATAGGTAGCTGCCCATTCGCTAGTGTTTTTTTTTAATGCATGCATAAAACGAGTTTGGTATCATGTTATCCATAATGTGCATGTTGATCTTGTCAAGCAAATGAAAGGACCTAAAATCGCCTCCAAACTGCAAAGGGCATTTATGAGAAACGATTTCATGGCAGAAGAACACTTGGAGGTTTGAAAATGCGACGACCGTGGATCGGGAGTTGCGTAGAGCAACGTTTCCTGGAACTTTATATGGGATCCTAAAATAAAATAGAATAATTGACAGAAAATTGACTCATAGTCAGAAATGAATTTTTGAGGAAAATTATCCATTTTGAATATTTTAATCAAAAAATTTAGCAAAACGAAGAAAAATTTAACATTTTAACAGGCAGGAAATAATTAATCAATTTTGCTTAGATTTAAGCAAAATGGCAACGCTGATGGAGACTAAATATTTATGTATATAGAAGCTATATTATAGATACAATTAGTTATGTGTACGTACATTTGTTTCTATAGAGTATAAGAGAGCCCACAGTTGAAGACCAATAATGAAAATACAACCCATTAGGAAATAACGTACAAAACATATTTTCCCTGCAAACCAAAGTTCCCGAAATCTTAACGAAATCTTTAGGAGTATCTGATTTCTGTAACGATTTTTTTCCGAATCTTCAAAGAAAATTATATGAAGTGGTTGACACGAACTCGTAAAGAAATTTCTGTACGAAAAATAAAGAAAATTCTGAAAAAAGTCTGCAAGAAATTCTTCACATAGCAGAATTATTTTCGTTTCTTCACCGATTTTCTTCCGGAATTTCGTAAAAGAATGGAAGTGTGCGTAATTTATTTAATTTTAGAAAATTCGGCAAAAAATCGAATTAAATCTTAACGAATTCTTTCAAATTTCTTTACAATGCAGAATACTCTGAAAAAATGGTTTGCAGGGTTCACACTGCATCAACATTGGTTTAAGTTTTTTGTATGTGTTTACGGTGAGGTTTTATTCACAAAGTAGCGGAAATTCAATGTCGGATTTGTGGTGGGAGAGAGACTCCGTCGCCAAGTACTATCTGTTATGCTGGTAAACCAGTTTCTCGCCAAAATCCTTATCAGAGCGAAATTTTTCAACATTCCGTTTGTTTGCGCCCACACCCCCACAGAAGGGAAGGGCGAGGAGACCAAATACCTCCACCACCGTTGAATAATTCAGGCTCCGCGACACAGCGTCCGTTAACGGACTTCGAGGGCCAAACAGCGACCCAAACCAATATCTTTTTGCTGCCAAGAGCACTCTTCAATAAACCGACCGAACGCGAGAATTGCAACCACATGTCTCGCTCATTAAGTGCTTTCGCCGAAGAAGTAGGCAGCTTTAAGCTAGCTCGAAAGAACAACAGGTACGACAAGGAATGTCACGCCACTGCAGGGGAAAGGGGGGGAAGGGAGGGCGGCCGCGCGAACTATGTAGGACCGGCGTATGGAGCTGAAAAGGGAAGCGAAATATACTTTGAGTAATACGTGAGTGCAAAGAACTTGAAATGCTAACCGGTGGGAAAAGCGCGCGATAATTTTACCAGCAAGTTAAGTAATTGCGGTAAGTTTCAATACCTGTAAGACGAACCGCGGCCATCTATTAACCGATGTCCAGATCATACTTAACCTCCAGTAGCGGAGAAAATAAACCGCCGGTATTAATAGAAATTTCGCGGTTGAAAAACAACGAAGTCGTTCAACTTTACTACTCCAATTAAGCTGAGAGAAATCGGGCGTGACGTCATCAAATACCAAAATAAGAGAGAGCAAAGACGAACTCAACAAGAAGAAGAGGAAGAATCGAACAAAAGCAGGTGTTGCCATGTTCTGAATTTGGAAAAGCCCTAAAACCCAAGAAAAATGGCGTTATATCTTGAAAAAATCACCAAATTTTTATTGGTGTATTTGGTGGACTTTATATGCATAAAAAATTTTATTGTAAGGATGCCGAAACAAACTAGTAACAATAAATTGTTTCTTGCTCGATGGTCGATTTATTCTGGCATGATTAATGGTGCCAGGTATTCACTTACGATTGCTATAAATTTTGCTTTAATTTTTTTAAGATTTACCAATTTGGTGTCTTCAAACTAAAAACAAAAGTACCAAACTCAAAAATTTTTCGCGTTTTGAATACGCACTAAATTTAGTATGAAAATCACGAAGTGGGCAATAGTTAGTATAAACAAAAGTATTGTGTGACGTCAGCGAATGGAGGGATGCTGTCAAATCGACGAAGAGCGGGAAACTGTTGGTTGACAGTTACAAGTTTGAAAAGTAGACGACTTCATTTATTTGCGAACCAGCATTAACGCCAATAATCATGTCAGCTTTGAAATTCAATGGAGAATCAGTCTTATTTACCAACAAGTGCAGCTTTGGCCTGAGTAGGCAATTGATGAGTAAAGTCTTCTCCTGTCAAATCAGATAAATATTTTGGATTTTGGTATCGATATTTTGAATATCGAGTCTTTTTATTACGATATTAATGGGTACCCGATATTTATAAAGCGATACTTTAAATGAGGAACCATATCGATACTTTCGATTCAAATATCGTGTCCCTATTGGCAAATCGTCAAATTTCTAGTCTGTCGAATTCCACACTTTTCCTAATGGCAACAACGTTTTTTACAACAGTTTTTCTTGCTCTCCTGAAAAATACCCATTTTTACATTCGATAGTTTGACATGGTAGGGACGATATGAGTAGTCAGTCCACTTGCAAAGTCCGCTAAGTAAAATTTTTTCGTTTTTTGTTTTTGGTGGGTAACGTAGCAGTATTTAAAGTAGTTTTATGTCCACCAACAAACAACAAAGCGCAAAATCTTTCTATATTCTGAAAAAATAGCATCTTGCAAAAGTGGCTATCATACATGTTTATAAACTTTCAAAAGTTTCCATCTTCTGATGAACTTAGAAAACTGCTTTAGGTTATGTTATGTTATGTTATAATTTTATTAGGCTCATTATTATTTATCCAAATTTTCAGGCAATAAAAAAAGATTCAATTTAGATGTTACTTTTTGCCGTAGTCCTTTTTTTAATTTATGGCTTACTATTATAAAATCACATAACGCTGTTTGAAAATGGACTACTCATATGTAGTAAGTGAAAAATTATAATTTTTTTATTTGAATTTAATATAAAGACTGACAGAAGGAAAAAGATCATTTTACACTTAAATTGCTGGTGAAACCGGCAGCTAAGAATTTTTGAATACTATGTATGTATATAAATAATATTGAGTCTTAGATGCTGTAAGAGCATTTCTGCATCAAAATTAAATAAAAAAAATAAAAAAATCATTTACTTTTTTTCGATAACGGTTTAATTTGTGAAAAAGCAAAACTTACTAGCTTATAATCTACTTGCTTAGTTTTTCTTGTTAGCCCAAGATAAAAACTCAAAATTTCCAACTAGGCTGCTAATAAATGCAAAAAATTAAATAATGAAAGAAACTCATTAGCGTGTTCAAAACTTGTTATCCTCCTCTTGCATCTCCGTATATACATGTGTGTATGTAGTACATACAAACCGACTAAAAATTTATGTACGTACTTATTTACATATGTAAAACTATTTAGTACATTGAACTCCACAGACTCCACTGTTATATTCTTAAAATTTATTAGTAAAGTACTCTTTTTTCTCTTACTGAAAAGTAGCTGACCCGTTTTCAATTCAATTCAATTCAATCTTCATTTAGTCTATGACTATGAGTTTTTTTAACTACAAAATAGTATATTCTCTTAAATATTTACATAAGTATGTATGAAAAAATATTGTATATTACAAAGTTGTTTACACGACTCAACTCTTCCACCTTCACAATGCAGCAAGTAACACCTGCACCGCCATGTAGACTGTGGCACCTAGAGCAACAAAAAATGCCAAGGCACGGCTGGGTTGTGGCATAACAACAACAGCATAGACAATCGTATGAATAATGCGTGCAATACCCACAGCACGGAAAAGATTGATAGCCAAACCTGGTGCTGGATCGATTAGAACGTAGAGAAAGCCAATAGCGAAGAAAGGCAAAATATTCTCCAAATCGTTGCGATGAGCTCTAATGGATAAGAGATCGAAGAGAGTGACATTTTAATAGACAAAACTAAGTTATATGAATGTATTTGTTTGCATACCTGCGCACACGTTCCACATCAGAATTATCGAACTTCACCTTAAGACGTTTGTCCAACAAATCTTCGGGATTGGCAAAGGTCTGAAAATAGAAATGATATTGCAATTAAAATTTGTTTTACACAAAAAAAATGTGTGTACAGAATAATAATCTAAAATGTCTTCATGTGAGAAGACTAATACATACATATGTATAAACATATGAATGTACATTAGAGTGGTCCAATTTTTGTATGGGGGGAAAAAATATCATTCTACAAAACGTCGCACCTTCTTAGTTTTTTTTTTTGGTACCTATACCAATTTTAAATTTTCTACTGAATATAGGGTGCTCAATGATCTTTAAATGCTCCACGGATCGCTGTGAAACTGGCGAAAATATTAGTGATTTTTATAAAAAGCTACTGTTGCCATGACAACTGAAGCTTGTGATATTTTTCTAGATAATTTAAATTTGATTGATTAAATAATATACATACAGTGCCGAACAGAAGTATTGGCACAGTGAATTTTTCGCAATATATGCAAAGTTATTTATTCTAATTTATCTTCGATAATTTTTTATAAAAATATTGTTCATTCTACACCAGAAAATTCATTAAATTTGCAAACTAATTGCAACTTTTTATTCAGATTTTTTAGAAAAATTCTAAGTATGCAGTTTTATAGCCCATTCAAATTTAGTATAACAAAGTGCAAATTTAAAGTCGCTAGAAAATCGCATTGATTTTTGGTAATTTTTTTTCACGCAAGTTCTTCCATACAAAGTAATTCGACAATTATTTTTTGTATGGAGAAAATGAGCAACACCTTCCACTAAAAAAATTACCAAAAATCAACGCGATTTTTTAGCAACTTTAAATTTGCACTTTCTTATACTAAATTTGAATCGGCTATAAAACTGCATACTTTGAATTTTTCTAAAAAATCTGAATAAAAAGTTGCAAATTAGTGTGCAAATTTAATGAATTTTCCTGAGTTTTGCACAAAGTTTAGAGTTTGTATTATTTTCTGGTGTAGAATGAACTATATTTTTATATAAAATTATCGAAAATAAATTAGAATAAAAACCTTTGCATATATGGCGAAAAATTCACTGTGCCAATACTTTTGTTCGTCACTGTATGTACACAATACTTCTAGCGTAAAATATGAGCATCATGAACATCCTCCAAATTTATACTTAGAAACGTAAAGTTTGGTACCAGCACCTCTTTCGGCTAGAGGAAAAATTTTGGAAGGTGCCCCAAACCCTATCTCGGAATTGTCATTTGAGGGGATTAAAAAAAAAAACTTTTATTAACTATTTTTATTCATAAAAAACTCAATTTTTGGAGGTATTTTCAAATCGATCCAGCTCACGTAAATCTTAATATTTTTCCGAAATATTTTGGTAGAAGTCTTAAAATATAACAGATTTTATAATTCCAATGGAAAAAAGTACCCATTTTCTTTTGTATGTGGAGTGATGCAGTCTAATGTACATACATATGTACATATACCGAAATCGCAGTCATATTAAACTGTCAACACCAATCACATTTGACTTTGAACCCAATCTTGCCAATAATTATGACTTGACACTTTTTTCTTACACCAACCGGTTTTCGCTAATTTTCTCTAACAATTTTTGCACATTTACATTTTGCGCCCATAAATACTTCTCACTTTGTTTTTCCCAGCTTTTTTTTACCTTAGTCTTGAAGCGTTGTGCAGCCGTCAGTAATGACATGAGCAATACTTTAATAACCAAAACTGCAGACCAGAAAGCATAGGCACTGAATACTTCATTGTCAAATGTTATTAAATCTTTCGCTGCCATTTTGCTAATTTATTAATTTTTTTCTTTCCAAAATTTCAACGCGTTTTTCGAAGTACAAATCGCCAAAGCACTGTCGTATAAATCTGATGACCAACTAATTTCGTAGTTGAAGCGCAGAAGGTTCCAATAGACTCTCCTGGCTTCTGGAGCGCTTTTTTAATATCGTTTATGTATGTATGTATGTATGTATATACATAACATAAGTGAAAATGTATATGTATGTATGCATGTATGAGCTTTTGTTGATAACGCATCGGACTGCATATGATTAGTTAATTTGACAGCCTCTCATTTTTTATATGCGCTCAAAGTTTGTGGCTTTCTCTCACCTTAAAAAATTTGTCTAGTTGCGCATAAATTAATTCATACATACAGTGCTTCCATCGACTAATCGGACAAACTTGACTTCCGCATAATTTTTATAAAAACAAAACATAATAATACAGCCGAAATACTTGAAAATTGAGCACACAGATCAATTTTTTTTGGTTGACTTCCAAGAATAGTCTCCGGAGGCAGACAAAGTTCTGTCCCCTCCACGTCAGGTGGTTGTATGCCCAGAACGGCACTGACAAGTCGAGAGTCTATATAACTCGAGAGCAACTCCCTGTGAAAGCCGTTCAGGGCCTGTCTGTATGCATTTGGGTCCAGCGGTTGTTTGATGAACCTCTGCACTTCGTCCGTCAGTTCGTAGAGATGCCTCCGGACGTCACTAGTTACCTTGCGGCCTTGATGTTAACTTAGCTAAAACTGGGATAGTCCTTTTTACCAGACAGCACAAAGTACCGGCTCTTACACCCCCTAAATTGGAAGGCTTGAGCCTGATATTTATACGTACTGCCAAAAATCTTGGATTAATTCTCGACAGTAAGCTGCTCTGGAATGACAACACAATGGAATGCAGCAATGCTCTTCACATGCAAAAAGGCGTTTGATTTAAAGTAGGGCTTCTCACCTGGGATAGCTCACTGGAGCTAGTACACGGCCATTATTCGCCCGATTCTGCTCTACGGAGTCCTTGTATGGTGGCCTACTATTAGTTAAGACAACAAAACAAACAATTTCAAAGGGTACAAAGGAGTGCGGAGCTATGTATAATCGGAGCTCTATGCTCTTCTCTTACCGAAGCCCTGAGAGCGATTCTGCATTTACCCCGCTCGACGCATTTAGGCGACAAAAAGCAGTTACTGCGGCATTAAGGCTCAGAGAGGCAAGTTCCTGGACTCATGGCACATCCGGCCACTCGAAAACCCATGAACTATGGCACCCATACTGCCAGCCGCAAATACTGACTACTGCATACTATCAAATACCTTCACCAAAAACTATAAAATTACCATACTAACTAGACAGGATTGGAAAATCAGGCCTCACTACATACGCAACGCAACGGAGCTGGAGCTAGAAACTTCTGTTCGGCTTTGCAGGTGGAGGTGCTGGCCATCCAGGAGGCCACTCGGCGCTTTTATCTTCTCTGAGAGTCAAGCAGCCCTGAAAACTGTAGACTCATGCGCTGTCTATACAAAGTCTCTCACTGAATGCTGCAAATCTCTAAACGAGATGGCCCAGCATTATAGAATACAACTTATATGGGAGCCTGGAAGCCGAGATATTGAGGTATGTATACCAATGACCACTTTTAAACTACATGCTAGGAATAGCAGCAAACGAACACTGGAGAGGCCTCTCCTTCTATGAAACTGCTAGGCTTACGTGGTCTTCTTACTATAATAAACGCACGGACCGAGGTATTTATTCTCACAAGAATTCGTACAGGTTACTGTCTAATCGGCACGTATGCCTCCAGATTGGCAGTGAATGCGATTGGACTACTGTCGCAGCTGAAGATGCGAAGAAGAAGAAGAGAGTCTACAGCACGTCATATGTGAATGCTCAGCACTCACCATAAGATGACCACAGACGCTCTGTAAACCCTTTCCACGAAGCCTTATGGATATAGCGGAAATCAACATTAGAACATTAGCGAAGCTCATCACTTTAACGAAATGGTTCAAGGTCGACTTTTTTCGTGAGGCTCCCGCACCAGAAAAGAAAAGTTCGACGTACACCGCTGACTGTAAAGTATTTTTGCAAGGCAATTTCGATTTTATTATTTTTTTGCTCCGAACCTAGGGCTCGCCTCTTTACATTTTTCGTCTTCTCTTTAGCCTTTACAGTCTGATTTTAAAGTATGATAAATTGAAGCTTCAGCCTTCAAGAGACATTTTTTGTTTGTTCCAAGTTCAGCGACGTCGATCACCCAGTTCTAATAAATTAAAACTGAGAAGAAATCTTTAAGTTTTCCATTAAGTATTCCATTAGAACTATTTAAAAAAATTGTATTGGCGTTGTGCGACTAAAGGGCCAATTTGGCGATTTTTAAGTGTCATTACCCTTTGACCCGATTTATTCAAAATTTTGATTTTTTAACCCTTTATAGGAAAGAAATGAAATCCGTTAACAAGTTTCAAAATCAATATTTATTATAAGAGCTTTACATGGGCATTTTTTATGTATGTAAATAACTAGTATAAACTTTTTACCTTTTCCCAAACAAAAATGCATACAATTTGTACAATTATTGCGAAAAATTGTTGTAGTTAATTCATATTTACATTAGTATATTGCAGTAAAGTATAAGAATTTAAATTATGCTAACTATAGTTTTAATATTTCTCAGCCATATGTTAAAAAAACCCTTTTTTAAGTACATCACATAAAAGGCTGTGGTGAATACAGGAGTATTCAATGATTTGTTAAGATTCTTTCACTTTATTTAATTTAATTTTCTTTCTCATCTCATTTTAATTTTTAAGTTAGTTGAGTTTATTTAACTTTAATTGGTTAACTTTATTTTTTTTTTTTTGAAATTTTCATATGCAAGTAATTTTTTATAAAATCTTGCAATGTGTTTATGTCTTTAATTGTTTAATAACGTCACCTTTCAGTGTAATCATTAATACATTTTTGCACTGAAGTACCAAAAATTTAAATTAAAATAATGGATGTTATTTTCTTATCTAAAAAAAAACGCTTATTCTCTTGACACTCCCTAATATTTAAGCATACGATAATTTAGTTTCTTCCAATTCTTCAACCCTTAAAGTACAGTCAGCGCCACCTGAAAAGCCATGTAGGTGGTTACTAATGCACCAACTAAAAATGCCAACAGACGACTTGGTTGGGGCACAACAACAACAGCATAAACGATAGTATGGATAATGCGGGCGATACCCACGGCGCGAAACAAATTGATGGCTAATTTTGGGCTGGGATTGATTAGCACGTACAGCAATCCGATGACGAAGAAAGGTAAGATACTCTCAAGGTCATTGCGATGCGCCCTAGAAATACGTACATAAGTACATTAAAATTCAGTAAATTATGTGTAAATATTTTGACTTATTAATATAAGTGCTTATATGGATTCGATTTTCTGTACCTACGACAACGTTCCACATCCGGGTCATCGTATTTCACCTTAATCCGTTTATCTAAAATATCCTCAGGATTGATAAAGGTCTGTAAAAACATATGTTCATCAGGATATAGGTATCTGCGTGATAGTGTTTGATAAAAATTAATTTGTGGTATTCACACCTGATATTTTTTTCAAAAAT